TTCCAAAATCCTGAATTTTAGTTGACTTTGATGACCTTTCCAAAATTGTTTCATTTGTCATTAGTCACTGAATTGACTTTAGATTATGTATCACAGTCTCATTGGTTTGCCTCGTCACAGGGATGCATTTTCTTATTCCTATCTTTTCTGGAGATTTTTCAGATTTTCAAAAACAATATTTTAGCATGTCATCTACTTCACACTGAGAAAGAAAACAAAACGCGAATACTTTAAAACTGCTAAATTTGCAAATCGTATGGAACCAGTTTTATCTCCTATTAAATACACCATATCTGTACGATATAGCATGCATTTGACATAGGATTTAAAAATTTGACCCAAACATATGCTTTGTTGCAGTGGAGAGTGAAAGATAAAATGAACAATTGAACATTTTCGGCATACATTGTATGATTTAATCACAAAGACTTTTTTTCAATTATTCCATTGATTGCTTTGGAGAGGATGAATATCTTGGAGAACACAAGTGTTAATGATGTGCCTAAGAACATAACATCAAACTTATCTTGCCAATTGTTGCCACCACACACAAATTTCACGATGACACGTTATGGGCATATTTCACCTATTGATTCACTCGAGGAGCTTATCAGTTTTTACACATCTGGTTTTCAAACTTTCTATATTTTTAAAATACAGTCTCTAATAACATCTGACACGGCATCTAACACCCTCTTCATTTCGACTATTCGTAGACTAACTAGTTCCAATCATAGCGCTGCCACAACGGTAGCGGGGATAACGGTCTCACTAAAAACCCCAGAACACCCCAGAACAACCCAATATTACATAAAATCACATCAAAGCTCACAAAATTGCATCAGAAAGAGCGAGAAAAAGCAACTGCTAATATTTAGCGATGATTTACCTAACAGGAAAGTAGTGAGGTCAGGAGTTGCCAAGAGACATAACTCCCTTTTTTAGGGAGCCTGTTCGGGTACAGTAACGTGAATATTTATCAACATTTATAAATAAGTAGCAATACCATAAAAATGAAGATAAAAATATAAACACTTGCAGTATGATGAATGAATTGCTATCATCCCAAAATATTCTATCAATTTTAACAGTTTCATAACTGACTCTTTAAACAAAATTGTTCTGTAAATGTAATGGGAAGAAAACAGCCAATGATGTTCATTAATAATGGTATATTTTATAATGAATACGATCAAAAAGAACAGATTCCTTGATTTCCCACCTACTTTTCCCACCCTCACACCCCCAACTTCGCCATCTTGCATTACGCTGGCTTTTCAAGTACTTTTTCTCATCTTTAATATAATTTTACATGAACTTTTGCTATCATTCGGACGAAGCCATCACTCTCCGATTAATTAAAAGCTTCCAACCATCCAGTCGCTCATGACCACATTACTGCTGTAAATCTTTGTGCTTATTAACTTATTAAATACAAACTAAAAGCATAGAACATATTAATATTGAGCAGAGAACAGCCATTTGCATTATACCGTATTATAAGTGGTAGGTCATACTCAAAATAAGTCATATTTTTATAAGCAACCAACAATAGGTCGAGGACTGCCTTCCCAGAAACTTGGGAATTCGGTCAATATCCATGAAAGACTTCATCAAATACTTCCATCCCGACTATTCGATTGCTGCATCCAATGATATCCTGACAAAAATTAGGAATCTTTACCAACGAAAAAAAGACATCTTGGCTAGACAATGATTCATTGAGATAATTTGCGATACAAATTGCTGCTTGCTGGAATTATTGTGATTCAATTTAAACTGTCCTTTGCTTGACTTCAGTGTCTTTTCCTCAAATATTAATCTACAATGCTAACTTTGAAAAGATAAACATAGAAACTCTCTATGTTCTGGATACTAGTCCTAATTAGCAAATTCACCATAACTGTCCGTATATTTGAATAAAATAATATATATATATATATATATATATATATATATATATATATATATATATATATATATATATATATATATATTTATATATATATATATAATATATATATATATATATATATATATATATATATATATATATATATATATATATATATATATATATATATATATATATATATATATATATATATAATACAACATGTGCACGCCCTAGTGCTTCATATAGACTACAATAACTAATCTCCTGCTTCGGCTTGGTAACTATATGTATGGGCTTTGCATTTCCACATGTTCCAAAATTAAATTTCTGTTACAAAAATCGTTGATAATGATGTGATGTGATGTGATATGATTATGATTTTTCATGTAGCTTTAACAATTTTTCATTCATATCATTATGTTGTCTGTAGTGTGGCTGTTTATAGTGATGTCTAGCACTGGGGCATCATGCCGCAGACATGTAGCATGATGTCTTACTCAGTCATATTATCCTGACACCAGGCCGACCAGTCCTAACACTAACCTCTTAATGCTGAACGCCAAGCAAAGCAGCTGTTAGTACCATTTTTATAAGTCTTTGATATGATTCGGCCAGGGATCTAACCCACGACCTCCAGCATCTGAGGCGGACGCTTTAACCACTAGGCCACCTGAGTGGTTATAGACGCTTTAACCACTAGGCCACCTGAGTGGTTATAGATAATGATAATTGTCTTCTCGCGGACATTATTTGCTGAAATATGTGTCAGCATCAAGATTGCTCAGTCAGCATTTTGACTTTCAACTTATAACAACTGTAAATGACAACCAATTTAACCTGATTTAGACCAATATTTTGATTGGACTTAGACAAAATAAATATTTAATAACTTGGAAGACCTCCTATTATTGTGCAAAGGACAAAATGTTTTAAGGACTTTTAAGGGTCACTGAGGGTTGTGATTCGCCTGATAGTTATATCCAATTTATGACATTCAAATTGGAATGATAAGGTAGGATAAAAGGTAAAGGTAGTTACTTACATAGATATGCAATAACTTTAATATTAAATAGACTGAACACCTGACTGTTTATTCTCCAGGACTGTTTGTGACACTGACATTCTATGCTTCATAATTTACGCTTTATGTGTTTTCATTCACACTGACTTTTTTAGTTCACACTTTTGCATATTAGACCTCAAATTACTTCCTTTTCAAAATATTTTGAACATTACACATTGATGAAAAATATTTCATAATTTTTTATATAATTAAGACAATTTTCCTCACATCATTTTTCACCAACCTCTGGTTGATCTTACTGCTTTCTAAGAGAGTTATCTACTACCATATCCAATTTATTATCCCTTGGTTAAGAAATTCGCATGTATGCATGCATCAGTTAAAAATGCAGATTTCACATTTTCTTTCCCTTTTATATTGCATTGCATTTTTGAGACTTAAATAATTTCAATACAGTTTTCCTGGAGTTAATTTTACGTAACTTTTTATCATTATGCGTCCAGCACATTTTCTCAATTTTAGTCTATTAGCTAATCAAATTAGTAACGTCATGAAAACAGTGGAAATTTATGGAATACCATTTACCATCAATATTGGATGAGACGATGTCTTTCTTGCAGAGCCGTATTGGTCAATGTGAACTTAATAACGCTGTTCGTGGCGTATTTCAAGCTCATACGTTGTTTTCTTTTGTTTTATTTTCTGTTGGTTCTAAACAACACAGAAATTTCTAACTCGAGACTATTAAATGACAAAATTTGCAATTGCGAATAATTTTCAAAATAATTCAAGCAACGTATCCCATAATATAAGACATCCGACAGCTTTTTCTCCTTTATCTTCTTTCTTTATTATCTTTTAATCCTAAATGTCTTAAACACTGCCATTTTTAACCTGCACAAACTATAAATCGTGCTCTTCGTCACAGTCAGTATATCACATAATGTCCGTTCTTTTTTATTCTTCTTCTTCTTCCCGAACCAACCATATTATAGACGAGAACCTTATACTTGCTTTCCTTACACCACAACTTTATCTTGATGAACGGTTTTCTTGATGTTCAAACAATGTTTCTTGATTAAGGGGGGGGAGGGTCCTAATACCTATTCTTATTTTTTCCTATCCCGGTTTAAGTCCGATGTGATGTCTCATAAATGCAATCCATTTTGCAACATATTTGTTTACCACTTCGCTTTAAAGCAAGGTTATGTACATTACTTAGAGAGTTTGATTCATGTTTATAATGCCCCATATTTTTCCTCCACCTTTCAATAGAATGTGATAATCGGGTAGCATTATCAGGCAGAGGCAATGCTTTCTATAACACGCTTGCCATTCCTTGCTACATATGGCATGGATTTCATTTGTTTGATTACATGTGTGTTTATATTCCCTAGCTCCTTTTATGGATTATGTTCATATTTCATTATATAAGTTAATTCTCTTACACACTTAACTCTTTGATCTTAGGAATCAAGGTTACAGTCATAGATTTTCCTCTAGTTATTTGATTCAAGTGATTCTCTTGTTCATGTTTCCTGGATCACTTAACATTCTATTATACTTATTATAATAGTATGTCCATTCAGAGTCTTGCTAGCTTACTCTTTTAATCTTGGAATTAAACCCGCAAACAGTATTATAAATGCATCTTTGATCAATTTTGTTCAACCATTTCTATTATTATACACATCCCCACATATCAGCCTAATAGGTTGTGCTCATAATACAGAAGCAGACAATTTATTCTGTGATAAAATCCCCATTTACTTGTACTTAAGAACAAAATTTAATAGTCAAGAATAAAGGTATGATTGTATCAACGCTCCCTGCGTTCTCTCAACATATTATTGTTGTTATTATCATTATTATTATTATTATTATTATTATTATTATTATTATTATTATTATTATTATTATTATTATTATTATTATTATTATTGGCATTATTTGTTCGCTTGTTTATTATATTATTATGTGTTGTTTAATATGTTATTTATTTCATTTGATTTGCTTTTTGTTTCTGTTGTTTTTTACATGAAATTAGTGAATAAATAATGCACTTATAGCAGCTGTATGTGTGATTATGCTGTAACAGTCATTCAGCTGTTGTAATGTACACTGATTGAGAAACAAAATGGGAAAGAGCAACGCATGCTGTGTTTGCACCTTCTTATTAGTTTGGTTATTGTAAGAACCGTTATTATTGCTATTACTGCTTGTGTCTGTTCATTTGGGTGATTTTGCTTAGAACTACTAATGGAAGGATGAAAGAGGTTAGGTGATAACCTAGCGTTCTGTTTTCTTCCAGTGAAAATTGTGTTATTGTTGAATACAAAACTACTTTCAGCATTGTCATTTGATTACACAGCAGTGCTTAGCCTGGAATGTAGTTGATCTGTTTTAATATCATCAGCCACCGATAGTCAAGGTGACTAGAAACTGCTAATTTGGTCTAAATCAAGTTTTCACTATGACTATTATAGTAGTTAATTGTCTTACAGTTAACTAATCCGAAACAACATGTGTTATTCTTTATTCCACTTATCCCATGTATTATACGCAACAACTTCACGCCTTAAAGGTCAAACCTTTGTACCATATCTATTTGTGTTTATCCAGCTTGACGCTAAATAAGATCATCAATTGTCTCTTCACATATTGCTAGAAATGAACGATTGAAAATATCACCACCACCACCACCATTCACAATATTCCACCATCACAAAAAATAATATTCAAAATAATAAGAAAATCCTGCTACCATCAACAACCCTAAAGCCACCACCACTACTTATACTAAGACTGCTAATATTACCACATTTTAATCGAACACGAAATGAAGAATACGAGTGATTATTTTTTACAAAAAAATCATACAGGTATATTGATTTTTATAGGTTTAAACATTGAATAATAATAAAAATGATGATAATGGTCATCGTATTCCATGCCTCGCTGTAAATATCACCACGAATTTATTATATAATATATTACATTCGAGGCTGGGCATATATACACAGGATTTCTTTTTGATTTTACAAAAACAAAATAAATTTGACTTTAATTACACTTGAGTGATATAGATAGTGATATCAAGTCAATAACTTGTGTCCAGAAACAAAGGAAATCTGTTTATAAAATGCGAAGGGAATGTCGTTACGTGTTTGTGACAGCATTTTGAGTATAATATCACCATCACTTCGAGATTTGCAATCTATTAAATCAAGAATAAAATTGATCCATATATATATACGTTCTCAAATGCTGTTTCGTAAAAAACATGCATACCGTCACATTGTTTGTCCGTCTGTATTTCTTAGGGACAAAAGCTAATACTCTTATTATATTTAATTCTTATCGGTTTTCATATAAAATAATTAGATAAATTCGGATTAAATGCTTCCGGATCGCAGAGAATAAACTAAAACAAAAACAAATTAGTTACTATTTACCCTATGTCTTGACCTATGATAAAAATGAAACGGTGTATATATTAGCTCGAGATAACTTTTTCAAAAAAATATATCTTAATATCTTTGTTCTGCTTCCTAGTTTCAATGCTTTTTCAAACTTTGGCCTGCCTTTCCTTCAATGTCTACGTTGCGAACATTAAATAATGCAGACACTTATTGGTCTTCTTTGCTGCAGTATACGGCAAGAAAGCCGTATTGAATTATACAATGAACTGATCACATTTTTTAGTAGCAAATGTACCATAAGGCCTTCTTTTAGCAGGAATATGCAAAATTCCAATAATCCAGATATCCAGCTGTCTTCTTGTATCACAATAGGTCAATTATGCTATCGTGTTTAGTATTTCAAAGAGCCGCAACATTCTTTTCTTACCAGTTAATGTATCGTAAGGTAGTTCGTCAGGCGTACTATGACGTGACTCTTTTCTCCAAATGTATTGATAAAGATATATTTACCAGGGGAAGGAAGCTCAACTACAAATGCTGTGATATAAATCTGCATTACGCTTTCTTCGAAATTATCCGTGTTACTGACAGCGAAGCTGGTACTCATTTAGATTACAAGGTTTTACGAGACACAAAAATCAATGAATAGTAGTTTTCCTTGATCTTTGTTATTGTGTCTAATTAAAGACGAAATGATTTCTTGTGCCATGTCAACAATAAGGGTTCACTCTTGCCTGTTTGTTAACTTTCAACTGTGTATCAATAGTGACAAAAGAAGTTGAAGAGACTAACGTGTTGGAATTGATGGCACTGCACTTCCAATACATGTAGTTAAAAATGGTTAATGAGAACGTGATTTTAATGAACATAATCGGTTATGTGAAAATTGTATGTAGCTGATCCAAACAATAAAGGAACTTAAATTGTATTCCATGTATGACGCATATTTAAATCTCGAACAAAGCATGACTTCCAACAATTAATCCATTTCAGAATATTAAAATTTTTCAGTATAAAATGGAGATAAATATTCCTTTGTCTCCAAAAGAACTTTATATTTCGAAACGATGGCATAGTTCATCCATGTTTATAATCACCTATATATGTCAATGCAAAGACATGCATAAATACGGAATATTTTTGTTACGTGATTTTGCGTCTCTAGTCATGACAGTACGATAACGACAAGACATTATCATGGTTAAAAACATTTTTATGCTAGTCT